AAGTAGCGGTGGCGCCAACGGCTGGTGTAAAATGGCGAATTTCGAAATGCTAAGGAATATGGTGTTTAGTTTTGGAGTTTCTGAACGGAATAAAAGTAGACGCAAACACGACCGTCAGATGAGAGCACTGCGGCTGCAGTCCTGCAGTTCAGATTAGAATCTGTATGGACGCCGATACCCCCGGACTCCTGAAGTACTTTCTGATTTATCTATAATTAAATCATCAGTTTTTAATCTGGATGGCCGGTCATCGCCTGTAGGACTTGACTGTGGCTGGCATCCGTTCACTGCCTTCCACTTCCGTTACACGCTGTCACCGGCCTCTCCTGTGGATTCCGCGCTGCTTCCAGACGCTAAACCTACGTTTGAGATGCAGCAGCTAACTTCCCCTACCCCTCCTGCCCATCCTGATTTGCAGTTTACAAACCTGCCTTTTTATGATGTCCTTGATGCTCTCTCTCCTCAAGCTCACTAGTTCAAAGCAGTATTCAACGATTTCAAGGTAAGTTTTTTCATGTTTTCTCTGACAACGCAACAAACTAGAGAGATATGCATTTCCTGGGATTTTTTGCCAGACACAAGGAGAGATTATACAGTCCAAATTCAGCTGAAACTTTGACTGGCAGAGGCCAATTGCCCTCAAGAAGATAACAATTCCACTAGTCTATGTGTCAACGTTAATGAAGGTGGTAACGGTCTGTTTCTGTGGGTCCACAATAGAGTTCTCCAGATGTACACAGAGTGAGCAGCACGGGCAGCAAACAGTCGCTGTTGGTCCTGGTCAGGGGTCACTCCGGGTGTACTATATCCTCCGTCAAAACATGTTTGTTGTAGGGATTCGCTGCCATAAGGCGGCGAACACTTTGGTCCCAGGAGCACTCTGACCCAGGAAATGCTGCACCATCGTCCCGGCAGGGACTACTCAGCACTCACGCAGCCTCAGGAGTGATGAGCTGGGGGACAAGCGGACAAGCGGAGGCCTATCCTCAGGGTTCTGCGAGGGTCTACGTGACTGCAGCACGGCGCCCAACCAGTCACTACTGCCAAGAGAAGTGGTCCTGGCACTATGCTCAGTTTTTAAATTAGAGTCATACAGGTTCAAGGCTAAGTCTATTAAAGCACAAAGTGAAAGTTAACTAAGCACCTAAATAAGACATATTCCCCACCACCCCTAATAAACCAATGTTGTTTCTACAAGTTCCCAAAATATACCATTGTATCATACAAATAAAATCCAATGTTGAAATTGGTTTAAAGGCTCGTACATTTTTTTATTATGATAATTAAATTGTTTTCCAAAAAAGAATTTACACTTCTCTCCCTATATCCTCCTAAAGAGTCCCGGGATGCTAGCCACAAGATCAGCAGTTCAAATCGACCAACTGTCTGCTTCCATAAACATTTACAGTCTCAGAAACCCTATTCAGGGTTGCTATGACTCAGAACTGACTCAGTGGTAATGGGTTTGTTTGTTTTAATACATATTGTAAGAGTAGCCATTTCCTTTTCTATCCATCAACATTAGTTTATAACAACCACTGAAATATATGTCATTCTATACAATGTTCTGTCAAGCAATTTCGTTTTAATTAACAATGTATTTTTATCATGCTCCCATATGTGCACACGTTTGTGTAATTCTGTTAAATGTATGAAACATTTGATTAGGAAGTTTCTTCATGATGGTCACTATGTTGTTTTAAGTTTTTATATGAAAACAATGCTTGAGTGCACATATTTTAGAGAAGTTGTGCAGGATAAACTCCAGGAATTTAAATTATTTGAAATCAGTTCAAAGGTTTGTGCATTTTAATTATGCAAATTAAATTGTTTTCTAAAAAAAAATTTACACTTCTCTCCCTATACCCTCCTACTGAGCCCTGGTACTAACCACAAGGCCAAGCCCACCAGCTGTCTGCTCCGGTAAAGATTTAAAGTCTCAGAAACCCTCTTCAGGGTCGCTATAAGTCAGAAATGATTTGGTGGCAGTGTTTTGGTTTATTTTAATACATATTATGAGAGTGGCCATTTTCTTTTATATCCATCAACATTAGTTTTTAACAACACTTAACTATATGCCAGCATGTTGGAAGAATAAAACAAAACTCAACTTTTCTATTTCCATTTCTTAATTAGAATGGGATTGAAATTATTTTATGTCTTTATGTATTTATTTTCCCTCTAAATGTCTTTTCATGATATTATCTTCTGTGAAGCCAAAAAAAAAACAAAAACAAAAAAACAACCCACTATTATTAAATCAGTTCTAACTCATATTGATCCTAAATAGGGTTTCCAAACTGTAAATCTTTTTTTTTTCTTTTTGTGAAGAATTTATTTAAATGTTTTATTTATGAACCACTCTGGCAAGGCAGCTACATGCTACAATAGCAAGTAAAAAACTGAATAATTTACTAAGAAATTTATATAATTTTACTTAAAAAGAGAAATCTTTTAAACAAATGCATTGACATTCTAAAAATTGACAAAGATGCTAATTAACTTTACTTCCTTTTTATTTTCTTAAAGAAATAACAATTTTTCCTCAATATTCTTTCACCTAATAAGCAAAAAATATGTGCTTGAAGGACATAAAATAATTTCAAGTAGTAATGAAAAACTGCTTTATGTTAGTATGTTAAATTATGCACTCTACATTGTGTTTCTGTATATTAATAAGTAAATTAACTATGGTATCTAATAAAGCCTTCCTATGTGATCCAACCTCAAAATTATCAACAAAAACATATGCTTTTTTAAATAAAGGAAAAGTATTTTAAAAAATAGGTAAGTTGTTCTCAGAAGGTACATATTTTTCACTTTTTTTTGTAAGGAATAACTATGCTCTTATAGTATTATCATTTTTAAAGATAACTTAAAGGGGTTTTCTGACATATTTTCTCTTTAATACATCCTGCGTTAATTTTCTACTATCTTCTCTTTGTTCTTGCTCTTGCTTGGTGTGGCACATTCCTCCTTTTCCTGCTCTCTATCATGAACTACCCTATTCAAATATGTAAACCCAGTTCTAGTCCAGTCTTGTCCCCACTGGTTTACATTTCTTCTCAGTTCTTCTTTTCCTTCCCACAGTCTAAAATTATTTTTCTACTTTTTGTTTTAAAAAACTATTAGTCATATCTCTTGCAACTTTTAACCAACAATTGGGCTGAGATACGACCCCTCTGGTCTTATTAAACATATGGAAAACTTCTTAACAATGATCTATCAAGAAATTCATAGTTTTGTGAGAATCAAGAGCTCACATTAGGTGACTAAAATCCACAAAAGAACCAAATCTTTGCATCATTAAATCAAACGTGGTTTGTAACACTGTATAACTAACATCAGAACATCACTTAGTTCGTTAGTCAAAAATATCTGCTGTTTATAGTGGAGAGCAGGCAATCAAAATTATTAAGCTAGCATTGATTTAATACTCCTAAATTACAATTAATAACAAGATATTTGTTGCTGTTCGTAGGTGCTGTCCAGTTCATATCAAACCATAGCAATATTATGCACAACAGAACGAAACACTGCCAGACCCTGCACCAACATCACATTGTTATTAAGTTTGAACCCATTGCTGCTGACACTATGCAAATACACTTCATTGATGGTCTTCCTCTTTTTTGCTGACTGTCCAATTTACCAAGCATGATATCCTTTTCTAGGGACTGCTGACAATATGACAGAAATATGAGAGATAAAGTTTCACCATTTTGGCTTTTAAAGAGAATTCTGGCTGTAATTTTTCCAACACAGATTTGTTTGTTCTTCTGGAAGTCCATGGTACTTTAAATAATCTCCTCTAACAACATAACTCAAATTCACCAACTCTTCTATGGCCTTCTTTATTCATTGTCCAACTGTAACATAATTACGAAGTTATTGAAAATGCCATGGCCAAGACTGTAAATCTTTATGGGAGCTGGCTGCCTCATCTTTCTCCTTGGAGAGATTGGTGGATTTGAACAGATGACTTTATGATTAGTAGCACATGGTTTATCCAAAGTACCACCATGACTTTTTCTTTATTAAAGCGTTCCTTATTTCCTTAGGGGAAAAAAATGCTAAAAATTATTTTTAACTTAGAAAAGGAGTCTTATTTTACTATGTGTACTAATGATTTGGATCCTTGTGGTACCAAGTGATTATCCATGTCTGAAATCTTTTTTATATTGAAATTCATGACATATTCTTATTCTCAAATTGTTTTTGATAGTATCTATAAAATAGTATCTGTGTTCATATTCTGATTCACAAATAATACTTTTGAATTCAGCCATGATTTTAAAATTAAAATATAAATTATAATAGTTCTTCCACAATAGCACTGTGAGGAGATCAACAGACCCAGACGCCAATAAAACAACTAACTATATTGCTGTTATTTAGTGTCCTCAAATTAGTTCCAACTCATAACAATCCTATCTACACCAGGAGGAAACAGCGTAGCCCTGCACCTTCTTCTAATTGTTGCAATGTTGCAGTCCCTTTATCAGTCCATCTCCTTATGGGTCTTCCTATTTTACAATGACCATCTATTTTATCAGTTATAATTTCCTTCCTTCAGGGACTGGTCCCTCCAGATAATATGTCTGAAGTACATAAGGCCAAATCTTGCCATCCTTATTTCTAGGAAACATTCTGGCTATACTTTTTACAAGACAGATTTGTTTATTCTTCTGACATTCAATAGGATATTCAATATTCATCGCCAACACCATAACTCAAATGGAATCAACCCCAATAGCCCCCGTGGCAGGTTATAGATGGGGAGATTACAGTTGGAATCCCTAGGTCTTACTTGAGTTTCACTTGTCCCCTCAGTAACTTGAGTCATCGCCTACAGCGTGTACACAAGACTCTCCCCGATTTCTCATTCCTATTGGTTCTCCAATTCCTGTACTAGCCAATCACCGGCACTGAGGTATACAGTTATAAGGTCCGCTCGGACACTCCTTGATGCAGATTCGCCATAAAACGCTAGTATCCTGGCTATGGCGTGCTGGATCCTACCGCTGCTCTCGGGGGCCTTGGTCCTGACCCAGACCCGCGCGGGTGAATGCGGGGCAGGACGAGAGAGGGGAAACAGCCTCTGAGGAGGGATGATTGAGCTGGGCCGCCAGGCCCGGGAGGGGGAAAGGGAAGGGCGGGACCCTTGGGGAAACTGCCTGCACGCCTTCCTCGACCCTGAACGCCCACTCTGCCCCGCCGCTCCAGACCAATGTCCTCTCGGATCTCCCGCCTCTCCTTTGCTCACAAGCCCTCTTCCCCTCCCTCCTGGACTCGGGTGGGGCACCAAGCGGGGACGCGGACTGTTGGTCTCATCCCCTCGTCGCCCGCAGGTTCCCACTCCCTGCGGTATTTCCTCACCGCTGTGTCCCGGCCTGGTCAAGGGGAGCCGCGCTTCATCGGCGTTGGCTACATGGACGACCTGCAGTTGGGACGGTTCGACAGCGACGCCCCAAATCCGAAAGCGGAGTCGCGGTTACCTTGGATGGAGCGGATGGAGCCGGGATTTTGGGAGGAGCAGACATGGGTCGCCAAACACCACGTACAGACTTACCGAGAGTACCTGGAACTCCTGCGTGGATACTACAACCTGAGCGAGACCGGTGAGTGAGGCAGGAGGGGTTGAAGGTTACGTGTTCTCTGGTTCACACAGGCAAGTCATCCCGAGTATCAGGGTCGAGGCTCCTTTGACCCCGGAGTTGTCGATAAGTGTCATTGAGTAAGTTCTGACTCAGAGCGATCCTATATAGGATTTCAAGGACCAGTTGGTGTGTTTGAACCACCAACCTTTCTGTTAGCAGCCCAGTGATTATTCTACAGAGCCACACCCGTAGAGCTACGGGAATATAGCCTGGTTTGGTTTTACTTAAGATCCAAAGGACTCTGACCCATCACTGACAGTCGGGACCACGGGGAAGGGCTATTAGGGGGTAGTTGGGGCGGGTCTGACCGCGGGGGTGGGATCAGAGTCTCACACCTACCAGGGTATGTATGGTTGCGATGTGGATCCGGATCGCCGCCTCCTCCGTGCGTACAATCAGCGAGCTTACGATGGTGCCGATTACATCGCCCTGAATGAGGACCTGCGTACCTGGACGGCGGCGGACACAGCCGCTCAGATCACCAAGCGCAAATGGGAGGAGACCGGTTTGGCGGATCTCTACAAGGCTTACTACGTGGAGGACAGGTTCCTTGACTGGATTCGTAGATGTCTGGAGATGGGAAAGGAGACACTTTTGCGCACAGGTAAACGGGACCGCTGGGCACCTCGCTGAACTCCCTTTAAGTTGAGACGAAGTCCATCCTACTGACCTCTTTAAGCAAAGGAGGGGAGGGATAATGGGATAGACAAGAGAATATCCCCTCTCACCTGGGTTAGCAAAGTAGTTAGCCCAGATTTAGAGCTCCTTTACCAGAGAGTGACTTGCCTAGAGGAGTGCTCCTTTCTCTCTGAGACAGTTAAGGGATTCCTCTCTCTCAGGGAATACCAAACCAAACTCACTGCCTTTGAGTTGATTCCAGTACATAGTGACCCTATATGACCACAAGTAGAATTGATCCATAAGGTTTCTTTTATTTTTTCAAGCTTGTAAACTGGATGCAGGTTTACAGACCAAATCAGTTTCCACTGGACAGTTCATATACATTTTGTTAAATGTCTTTGGTTGTCATCCCCAGAATGTAATATTGCCCCACTTCCCCACTATGTTTCCATTCCTTCTTCTTTCCTAAACCTTCTAAACTTTGTCTGCGGGTAAATGCTACTCTATTCGTCTCCAATGCTTGATTATTATAAGGAGTACATTACCTCTCTAGTGTTATTGTTCCCCTTTTAGACCTATTATTTATTTAAGGAGCTCTGGTAGCGTAGTGGTTACGAATCAGGCTGCTAACCTCAAGGACGGCAGTTCAAAACTACCAGCTGTTCCGTGGGAGAAATAAGAGGCGTTCTGCTCCTGTAAAGATTTGCAGCCTCAGAAACCCTGTACAGGGTTGCTTTGAGTCGGGACGGACTCTACAGTACTCAACAACAACATTATTTGTTTGGAACCTGAACTGTAGGAGTGGTTTTATTTCCATACCTGAAAGGTGGCTAAGGGCCATAGTCTCGAGGGTTTCACCAGTCTGTATTCAACCACTAAATCTGGTCCTTATGGTTTTGAATATTGTTGCATATTTTTCTCGCACTGGATTCAGGACCTCCTATTGTGATCCCTTGTGGAGGAATAAACTTTAGCCGGGCACCATCTAGTTCTTCTGGTCTCAGGGTTGTGGAGGAGACTGATGTTCACATAGTCCATTAGTCCATTGGACTAATTGTTTCCTTGCATATTCAGTGTTCTTCATTATTCTTTCCTCGTGATAGGGAGAGACCAATAGTTAGATGGCTGCTCATGAGTTTTTAAGACTCCAGTCTCTACTCATGGATAAGATATAGAACATATTCTTTGTGAACTATATTATATGTCACTTGACCTTGTATTTCCTGAAACCATGTCCTCGAGGCCCAGTTGCTCATTTTCAAGGTGTTTGGTTATGCCTAAGAAGTTTTCATAACTTTGTTTTCTGTATGCACCACTATATTCATGAATAGATTTGTAGGTATAATCCCACTTTCCCTCCCAAACAACTGTGCAGCCTCATGTCTATCCATGCATGCACCGATACTGCAGGACTGTTTATATTACAGTATTTGCTTCTGTTGCCTTGAACTCTTGCACTCCTCTCAGTGTCTTTGTCTGCCTCCATCATTTTGTATTGCTTCCCCTTCGCCCACTTTAACAAGTGCCAACCATCGAGCCAGTAATGAACCCTCTCTTCCCTTCCCACCCCTGCTAAACATCAAGGGTTCTTTCAGTGTGGAAACCTTTTCTTAATTTTTTATAACAGTGGCCCCATTTGTTCTTTTGTGATTGATGTACTTCACTCAGCATAATGTCCTCTGGGTTCATCATTTTTCTTTAGCATTGTGTAGTATTCCATTGCGTGTTTGCACCACGGTTTGTTTATCCTTCCTTCCACTGATGGGCATTTAGGGTATTTCTATCTTTTTACTATTGTGACTGTTGCTGGGTTGAATATGAGTGTGCATGTATGTATTTTCATCCAGCTCATATTTCGCTAGGAAGTGGATTGCTGGGCCATAAGTATTTTTATTTCCAACTTTTTAAGGAAGAGCTATACCACAGTGCATTTTCACCATTGAGGTTCCTAAGTTTATCCCTATTTGTTCATAGTTTTAGGTTTTACCTTTAAGTCTTTGATCCAACTATACTCTTTTATATATAAACTAGTTTTATATGTGTATACATATATATATGTGTGTGTGTGTGTATAACTGTAGATTGTTGCTGTTGTTAAGTGCCATTGAGTCAGTTTTGACCCATAATGACCGTGTATAGTTTTATACCACTGTTCTGTCAGTTTGTCTTACTGTGGTGGCTTGTGACTTGCTATGATTCTGAAAGCTATGCCACCAGAATTGTAAATACCAGCAGGGTCACCCATGGTGGACAGGTTTCAGATGACCTTCCAGACAAAGACAGACTAGGAAGAAAGAGTGACCAACTACTTCCAAATATTTAGTCACTGAAAACCTTATACATAGGAAAGAAGCACTGTCAGCTATAGTGCCAGAAAGGAGCCCCTCAGGTTGGAAGGCACTTAAAATGTGACTGGGGAAGAGCTGTCTCCTCAAAGTAGAGTTGACTGTGATAATGCGAATGGAGTAAAGCTCATGGGAGAAAAGCTGGTAGGACCTTCATTTGATGATGGGGTACAACTCAAAATGAAGAGAAACAGCTATAAGCATCCATTGAAAATCGGAACATGGAATGTACAAAGTATGAATATGAGAAATTTGGAAGTTGTAAAAAATGAAATGGAATGCATAAACATCAATATCTTTGTTTATTCAGGATCTTTCCATATAGAGTTGGTGATTTGTTTTTCCAACTCTTTAGAGAATGATAAGTCGTGGATCTGGATCAGGATTGCATTATAACTGTAGATTGTTGTTGTTGTTAAGTGCCATTGAGTCAGTTCTGACCCATAGTGACCCTGTATAGGGTTTCTGAGGAGCGGCTGGTGAGCTTGAACTGCCAACCTTGAAATTCAAACTGACTTTGCAGTCTAACACATTAACCCACAGCGCCACACCAGGACTCCAGTTTTAGATTAGTTATGATAATATTGGTGTTTCCACAATGTTGAGTTTTCTTATCCATGGGCATGGCATATGTTTCTACTTGTGTAGGTTTCTTTCAGTTTTGCGATTTTCTTTGTATAAGTCTTTTGTGCCAGTCCATCTCGTTGGGGGTCTTCCTCTTTTCCGCTGGCCCTCCATTTTGCCAAGCGCGATGTCCTTGTCCAGGGACTGGCCTTTCCTGATAATATGTCTGAAATATGAGAGGTGAAGTCTCATCATCCTTACTCCTTAGGACGTTCTGGCTTTAGTTAGTCTTACGCTGATTTGTTCTTTTGGCAGTCCATGATACTTTTAATATTCTTCTCCAACACCATATCTCAAGTGTGTCAATTCTTCTACAGTCTCCCTTATACATTGTAAAACTTTCACATCCATATAATAAGGCTACTGAAAATATCATGGGTTGGGTTAGGTGCACCTTAATTCTTAAACTGATATCTTTGTTCTTCAGCACTTAAAAGAGGTCTTGTGCAGCAGATTTGCCTAATGCAGTAAGTCTTATTATGTGAGCCAGCCCATGCAGCCAGGGTTAAAAGGAGATGATGCAGCTTTAGAAATAAAATACAGACACTGGTTAGGGTTTAAGAGAGGCAGCAGGGTTCATGATCTGTAAGATCAAAAACCCCGAGATAAAGCATGTCTCAGTAATTTTAGCCTCTGCATTCCATAAAACCTCCCAGGAAAGCATACATCAAAAAGACATCGAAGACTATTTGATTTTTTAGGCCAGGACCATTTCCTGGTATGCATCCTCAAAAACAGACCCATTATTTAGCTTTTCGTTAACCTGAGAACGCCACACTGAGTGTGAGTTCTCACATCTGGGCATCACGTTCTACATCAGTGTGCCGACATATTACGCTTGTCATGAGTCACTGGCGATGTGCTACTTCCTCATGTCATTGCCCAGGCGTGACTCCTTTCCTCGTGCCTAGTTCTCAAGTGGTCTCCAAAATGTCCCCTCGCCTTTTTTGTTTGTTTGTTTAAGATGCATCATGGTTAGAATCTGGAAGGTGTGTTTTGAGGCACAGGTCAAATTCATTCCTATTCTGCAAACTATACATAAGAAAATAAAACAGCCAATTAACAGTAAGATCACAAGAATTCCAATGCCATAATATTTAAAATAAGCAAAAGGATTAAACTGTAAAGGGCAGCAGCAAGGGCAGGCTTGCTAGATTGATATTTATCAGCTTGGGTGCTAAGAAAAAGACATCCCTTTATAATTCTATATCAAAAGTTAAATTGGAGGAAAAGGCCCCCAAAAGACAAGCCTTAATTTTTTCCCAGGGGTGTCTAGTACTGTTTCACTTTAAGGGAGTGATATAAGAGTCGATATAATTATAATGACAAGTTAAATGTTGCTGGGTTTGTAAGCTGTTTGCTTGTTCTCCAAGCCATATGACAGAGGTTTTTAGGCTAGATAGCTCCTCTTCTACATGCTTATTAATTCTATTTTGTATTCCTAAAGAATTGGGAATTGGCAGTGGCTGTCCAATTTTTCACAAAGCCAGCTGTTTGTACTAACTCATGTAGTGCTAGGAAGAAACCATTACAGCAGAGAGAATAGCAACAAGGAAAATTATACCCGCAATTAGTGGTCCTACAAATCTTCAGGAGCGATGTAATATTTTTTGAAAAGCAATTTAAATAAAGGCTAGAAAAGGGGTGGCTTCCCAGCATTCAGTGAGATTAACAGGCATCCAAGATCCTGCCATTCTAGTTAAGGGAATTAAAGTTTTGTTGCGGGTTATAGTTTTATCTATTCAGGAAAAATATTGACAGTTGTGACAAGTGAGAAGTTGATTATTGTAAGTGGGCAGTCCCACCAAAAATACATATGGATTGAAGGCACATATGACAAAATTATGGGAACCATTTAATGCCAAAACAACCTTACTTTGGCTGATTATTTTTTATTCAACATAACCCATCCATAGCTTAGCATCCATAAAGGCAGAGGCAGCTAACCATAGAGTGTCTTGGACAGGTCTTGGAAGAGATTCTGTTTTTAATTGTCGCATTGGAGGGCTAAACC